TAAGATATTGGCAAATAGAATGCAACAAATCATTAAGAAGATCATACACCATGACCAAGTAGGATTCATCCCAGGGATGCAGGGATAGTTCAACACATACAAATCAATAAATGTAATACACCATATCAACAGAGCCAAAGACAAAAAATCATGTGATCATCTCAATAGACACAGAAAAAACATTTGAAAAAGTCCAGCATTAATTCATGATAAAAACTTACAGAAAATTGGAATAGATGGTCTTTACCTCAATCTGATAAAATCTATATATCAAGAGCCAAAATAATAATTGGTCAAAAATTGAAAGCTTTCACTCTAAAATCAGGACTAAGAAAAAGATGACCACTATCACCACTCCTATTCAATGTAGTTCTGGGAACATTAGCCAGAGAAATTAAAGAAGAAAAGGAAATAAAAAGAATAAAGATAGGAAAGAAGTTAAATTATCATTATTCACAGATGACATTATTCTCTACATAGAAGATCCCAAAAACTTCACCAAAAAACGTTTAGATTTAATAACCAAATTCAGTAGCATAGCTGGATACAAAGTCACCACTCAAATAGCACTCCTGTACACAAATAACAAACTCACTGAGAAAGAAATTAGGGAAACAACACCTTTCATAATATCATCAAAAAAATGAAATACTTAAGAATCAGACTACCAAAGGAAATAAAACCCTATACATTGAAAATTATAGTAGTCTGAAAAAGGAGATCAAAGCAGATATTGGAAAATGGAAAGATAGCTCCTGCTCTTGGGTAGGAAGAGCCAACATAGTTAAAATGGCCATATCCCAAAATTTGATACAGATTTAATGCAATCCCAATCAAAATACCATTAGCATATCTCACAGAACTAGAGAAAACATTCTTGAAATTCATTTGGAACCAGAAGAAATCTGGAATAGTCAAAGCAATTCTAGGCAACCAGGGCAAGGCAGGGAGCATCACAATTCTTGACTTGAAACTATACTACAGAGCTACTGTGATAAAAACAGCATGATACTGGCAAAAAGCAGAACAGAGGATCAATGCAACAGACTAGAAGATGTAGAAACAACACCAAACACACTCAGCCACCTTATCTTTGACAAAGGGCCAAACACTGGAGGAAATATATTCTCTTTAATAAGTGATGCTGGAAAAACTGGGTTTTTACATGCCAAAGACTAAAACTAGACCCATATTTCTCACCATATGCTAAACTAAAATCAAAATGGTTCTACTTTCCTTGATAAGATTGTACTCAAAGTTGTTATATGGTGTGTGTGTGTGTGTGTGTGTGTGTGTGTGTATTTAGCTTTAAGACATTTTTTGGCACAAGTTGTAGTATCAACTATTAAAATTTATAAGGTATGTATCAAATTGGAGGTTAAGCTTACATGTATGCAAAATGAAATCTACATCTATATTCATATCATCTAAATATATATATATCTATATATCTCCTAATAAATTACTTTTAAGGAGTGATCACCTATTCTAATATCTCTTATTTCTCCTTTATTTTTTTCACTTATGCATCCATTTACCCACCTACACATATTTGTTCTCCACAACATTCTATGTTTTGGGCATCATACTAGACTTAGAGAAATAGAAAGGAATAAGACATGTTCCTCACCATATGCAATTCATGGTATAACATTGAATATTTTGTCTCAGTCTCTGCTATTAGATTGAAAATGATGAAGTATTATATGCTTATTATCTGTAAATATTCAAAAATAGCACAAATAATAAATTTCTATTAGGTTAACAATTATGAGACTTACCTTTTGAAAGTTCTCTAATTTTCCATCCCTCTGGTACCATTTTCTATAGGGACTCTGGTATGCAAATAGAAACCTACTTTTTAGGGTCCGAAGACTCTGCCTTCAGATCCTGGTTGTGACTCGTGTTTTGAGAAACCCCTATGAGCTTCAGTTTTCTTACCTGTGAAATGCTGCTAATAACTACTTCCCAGACATGTGAATCCATGAGGTGAGTGAATGAAGGACTCTAGCACATAGTAAGCCCTGGTCTGAGCTAGGAGTTTTCATTCAGGTGATCTCACATAATTGCTGCCACAGTATGGCAGATTAGGACTCCCTTTTTGTTGCCATTTTGCTAATTAGGAAACAGGTTCAAACAGGAAAAGCAGCACAACCCAGAGCCAAGGGCACAGAATGCCTTGCCTGGTGGACTCCAAAGCAATTGTCCTGTTTGTAACCAGATCACCCTGATAATGGACTTGAGAACCTTCAGTAGAATACTACTCAAATGTTGCTTATATTATTTGTGTATCACCAGTGGGTCAATTTCCTGTCATTGTCCAGGACATTTTAGGACAGATCTATTAATGTGTTTGGGATAGAAAGTTGTGGATAGATTCCATGTGAAATTCAGTAACTGTGATCTGGGCCAATTTTCCTTCCTCCCCTGTAAACTAGGCCTAACTTATACCAGGATTGTAAATAATCAATAAGATAACACATACAAAATGATTCACATTTAGTAAATAGGTAATAAATTATATCTGTTATTATAATAATTACAAATATATCACTACCCACAAAGGAATTATGTATTTATCTGATCATAAAGTCCTATAATCTTAGTTTCTATGTACTCTAGGTCTGTCTGACATTCTACACCTTGAATCTACTAAATATTATTCACTGTATACCAGGCAGTTGGAAAAGGGAAGTACAATCAAGAAGAGGATGTTATAAATTTGCCTTTAAATCTCAATGATAACTAGGTGTATTAGCTCATACTTGTAACCTCAGCACTCAGAAGGCCGAGGCAGTAGGATTATGAGTTCAAGGCTGGTCTGCACTACATTATAAGACCTTGTTTCAAAAACAAAACAAAACAAATCTCAGTGATATGAACATGTATTTCAATCTATTGACTAGAGAGAAACCTACAGTATAACTAGTTCTGCGAACGTTTTACTCAAATTTTGAATTAAAGAATAGATTTTTTTCTCTTAAAAATTGTAGTAAAAGAAGTAAATGTAAGGATAACCTGTTAGTTAAGTTTCAAGTTTTTAAGATTTGGCTCCCCTGACAGATTCAAATTCTAGTTCTTCTCATTAGCTTGTGATATAGGGATAATTACTTTCTTCATCTACAAAGTAGAATTAATTAACTAATGTATATGTGGTACACAATAGGCACTATGAATTTATTGCATGGGCAATATTCAATTGATAAATTAGTAATTAGTTGAGTAATTAATAAGAAGAGTTTTAGAACACATTAGGTATGGTCACCCAAAAGTTGCTACACTAAAAACATGTATTACAGAGAAGCAGATCACATGATAGCACAAATAAGATGAATATGACTTTAATACAGCTTCCACATTGTGTTTCTTTTTAATACAGAAATGGGAACAGTGAAATTACTGTACAATATATTTTAGAATGAGTGAGACATAGGATGTCCTAGTAGTTATCATGCATTTGCTTTTCTTCAACTCTTTCACCAACTTGAGTGTGACCTGCCATCTCCTGCAGTCCTACAAATTCTGGAGTAGTGTGCCAGAAACTTGGCTTCAAGAAACCATAACCAGTCATTGTTTCTCACTGCCTCCTTTATTAACCTGTGTTAATGCTGTCCAATGCACTGACCACTAATCTTACTCCTGTAATTTACTTCCCCTAAGCTGTAAACATTTCCGTAAGTACAGTGTTCATTAGAAAAGAGTGCTTTTGCTGCCTATCATTATTAGTCTTAGTATTTTTAAAAGACTAATTTTGGGAATATGAAATATGAGCAGTTGGAGGTCTTATTTTTTACAAACCATGATTTCCATAAACTTGGGATATAAATTTTCTAAAACAATGAGTTTTAATAAGTAAGTAAAACATTAGTGCTAGATATTACATTTGTTTGTTCAGTAAATATTTATGGAATACTAATTCTGTGTGAAGCACTGAAGATCTTTTCTAAGTTTCTGTGACCATTTGACAATGGCTGTGCACTCTCTAAAGGACTAATACAAATGTGTGTCATATGAATGTGGATGTCCAGGGATGTTCATTAACCTAGTGGCCAATGTTTATCTAGTTCTCATCTCTGAAATTCCCTAGGTGGTGTTTTTGCCACCTCAAGAGGCAGCAATTAATAAGGAAGACTGGACTTTAAGGAGTTGAAGACCCAGGGATTAGAGCTATAATTCTAGTGTCTGACCCAGAGAAGCACCTTCAGATTCAATCTTTTGGGTGTTAATGACACCTGTCCTAAAGAATTCACAAAGCTGTTTAATGCTGAAATGAAATAAAATGGATTAAAATGTTTGGAAAATTAGTATATATGTAAACAATGGCGAAATATCATTATGATTGTTCAAAATCACTATTTTTATTACGCATGAAACTATGCCAAAAATCTTATATTTTCCTCTTCTTTGCATATGAGAAAACTCATTTTGGAAAAAAATCCAAACAAATCATGTTTTCCTTTTTCTTCAATATGTGACAGGAAAAATTTTAGACATGTTTTGTCCAATTTGGTCTCTTATGTTCTCATTCTCCTTCAAGGAAGTCTGGGGTGGTCTATAATGGAGACAGGTATTTTTGCAGCTAGTGACTTCCTAATCTGCATTAGTGCACAAGGACTGGCCATGAAGTAGTAGAAAAACAGCTAAAGGAAAGGGAATATAAAAAGTAAATTTGACAAAAGGAGTGCTTGCTGTAGTACAAATGACAATTTCCCTGTCTCAGAATCAGTCAGGATACCAGATAATGTAAGTTTTCATAAACTTCTAAAATCCCAACTATTAATTATTGAACTTGGCAACATGAATAATGGTGATAAGAGCTTTTTATGCAAAATAAAATGACTTTAAACAAAGAGGTTAATTAATCCAAACTGCTATAAAAGTTCTAGAAATGTCACAAGCTGATTAAATCCACTAAAGATACCACACCAACAGCCTGGCATGAGGCATCTAGCCACTGACATTACAGAAAATGAGACATTTGCAAAAGAGAGTTAACTTACCGATACATCATCAACAAGAGGAATATGATCTTGTAGGTCTGCACCCACTGAACTCGACCTTCTAATCGGCCTTATGACATCTCTAGCAATATTAGAGATGTACCACTGTAAGAAATAAGGAAACAAATTACAAGTAGTTGAAATGAAACTAGTTCAACAAGTCTGAACAGAGACGCCCCAGCCTATAGAGCAGCTTGAAGGAAACAGTTCCAACAAGAAATAGGATTTAGCCTTTTTTTTCTTTTAATGACTATTTTTTTAAGAAGAAGGAACTAGCCACAAGAATTTGAATGACAAATATTTTAGGAATGCACTGCAATTAAGGATTTAAAGAAGATTATGACTAGACATAAAAAATCTTAACAAAAACCACATAAAAGCTCTCAATAAAATAATCAAACATTCTGAAAACCCAGATTCATACAATAACTCAGGAAATAATCCTTAAATTCTTGTGAGACAACAGGAATCTCCGTGCCTTACAGGGGCATGGTGAATTTATTTATAATTAATGATTTCTTTTAAAATATCTTCCAAGAGTATAGATAAATGAATAGCTAGCCAGGTTTTCCTGAAATGAATTACTATGATAAACATGTATAGAGAAGCATTTATCAGAATTAAGAAAACTTGGGGCTGGGGATTTAGTTCAATAGTTCTGTCACCTGTCTTGCAAGCACAAGGACCCGAGTTCGATCCCCGGTACCAAAAAAAAAAAAAAGAATTAAGAAAACTCAAAAGAGAAGCACGAAATACTTTCAATTAGACACAGATTATAGGTATATGTGCTCTTCATGAATGTTGCAATCTTAGAAATGAGATTGAAGCCTTGTTAGGTGACACCCTGATTTTTGTCTCTTTCATTCTCCAGAGACAACTGTGTTATTAGGAATTTCTCCTCCTATAGAACATGCTGGGCATTTTATACACTGGGCATTTTATACACTCATGCACACACATATCCCTAGAAAAGTGAATTAAATTAAAAGCATCTCATAAAAAGTACCATAGACATTCTGTACAGAGTGGTTTTTCTTCACTTAATATTTTGAAGAACTTGCTATTTTGGAAGATCTCCTATTCTGTTTAACAACTAATTGAACTTAAAGAGAATTGATTATTCTCTTACAACCAAAGAGTACCATTTAAAGGAAAAAAAGTGCTTTTGATGAAGGTTTTCAGCAGCAGAGAAAGTACATTTGAAATAATCTAAGTGTGGCATAGAACATTATATATAGGAACTCTCAAGGGTCAGAGTGCCAGGATTCAAATCTTGACAGATTCTCTGATTGAAATAGAGGAATAATAATTGTAATTTGTAACATATTGGTGAAGTGAAAATGAGTTAAGATTTGTAAAATACTTAAAATACTACATGTGAAATGAATAGACACTTCTCAGAAGGAAGTACAAATTACCAATATATACATGCAAAAAAGCTTCGTCATCTCTAGTAATTAGAGAAATGCAAATTAAAAGAACACTAAGATTCCAACCTACTGCAGAAAGAATGGCAATCATCAAGAAATCAAATAATAAATTCTGGACAGGCTGAAGAGATAAAGAAATCCTTCTGCATTGTCAGCGGGAATGTAAAGTAGTACAACCATTATGGAATTCAGTATGAGATTTTTCAAAAACTTAAAACTAGAAATTCTATTTGACCTAGCTGTTCCCCTTCTAGGTATTTTCCCAAAAGAGTAAAGATATCATATTACAGTGATACATGCATACCTTTGTTTATAACAGTACAATTTATAGTAGCTTAATCTTGTTACAGTGCTACATGTCCACCAACAGATGACTGGATAAAGAAAGTGAGATATTTATACACAAAGAAATATTACTCTGCCATAAAGAAAGATGAGTTATCTGTAGGAAAATGAATCCACCTTTAGACCATAATGTTTGGTGAAATAAATCAGACACACAAGCTTAAGTATTGCATAGTTTCTCTTATATGAGAGACTCAAAATATAAATGACTAGTAAAATAAAATACAGATAATAGGAAATAGGGAGATAGATCTTTTGCAAAAAAGAAGGGAATCAAGGGGTGGAGGATGAGTGGAGGGAATGGAGTGGAAGGTGATGAAAGTGAATTGAGATATGTACTTGTACCAATTACCCATGAGGAACGTAATCATTATGTACTGCAAATATGTATATACAAAAATAAAAATTAAAGAAGAATAGTACATCATGTAATAAAAGCAGTACAGAAATATTGGCTAATTATTATTTGGACTTTAATTCATTTGCATGGGTTTAAAAGAGAAAACTTATCCTTAATGTCATGGCTTTTAGATTTCTAGGTTTTTGATTATAGGAGGGTAGAAGATTTAGTGGTTGAATATTAATGCAAATTCTGGAATCGAGTAACAACTCTTGGAGGTGGTGACCAGCTGTCTTTGGCCACCATTTTAATCTACTTTTTATGTTGTATCACCTCAAACAAACTACACTGTCCCAACTGATTTCTCTGATGTGGTGGGGACAAATACATAAACTATTATGGTTGTCAACAGTCACAGTTTAGTATTCATGAAATCAATTATTCTTTCAACTTATCTATCTGATTCAATAGATCTCAATAATTCATACATCTATAAATTATATGCAGTTATTTATGACTAACATTTATAATTGTGCTTGCTTTGGCAGCACATGTATTAACTTGTAGTTATAATTAAAATTTATTATAAAAATATCCTTTTGAAAATTGACAATGTAACTCAAATTCACTATGCTACCGGCTAAGTTAATGTGATATTATGATGAAAAATATTACAGCATACAAGGTTATTTAATGAGGCAATAGCGATATATCTTCATGAAGGGAAATATGATATTTCTCTGACCGAGTTTTTCTTCAACTGATGTTACTGTCCTCTTCTGCAGGACAAAATTCTAAAATTGATACAAGTGACAAATATTATACATTGAAAATGAAAAGGTGAAAAATATCAGCCAGCTTACTGGTAAAATGCTCATAGTAGCTCAGACTCTATCATCTTTGGTATTTCAGAAAGCCAATGTTTTAACCATCACAGCTCAGTAATTAATTGAACAGATGTTTTTTCTGTTCCTATGGATGTTTCTATGATGTATTTAGAAATTAGGGCAATTTTTTAAAAAGCAGAATCATCAAAAATCAAAATAATTTCCTTAGATATATCATACATTTCTTTATATTTGTTTTCTTTTTTTCACTTGTACTTTATTGATGGAAAGATAACTTCAGATAAATCCAAATTTCTGTGCTGCTTGCCTATTCTCTTGTACAAATAAACAGGGTTGGAAGAAAGCACATGAACAAACTAATCTGATTTCATTTCCTGACTGACACATAAGTGGGCACAGGCAGTCATGTTACCCTTTCCTAGGCCATTCACTTTACCACCCTTCTGGGCAACAGTTTCTCCCCTCTCACTTTTCTTTCAACCCCTTTACCTGCTCCTCCGTTCCTACTCCCAGCTGATGGTCTGGCTTCCTACATCTCTATATTAACCTGTGGCTGCCTTAATGAAGCACCACAAGCTTGTGGGTTAAAACGAGAAATTTATTATTTCACATTTTGGAAGAACATACTCAAAATTAGCAAGGCATGCTTTCCCTAGGAGAGACCCATTCCTTGCTGCTTCTAGCTCTGGTGGCCCCAGACATTCCTTGGATTGTGTTTGATAACTCCAATCTGCCTCCATCTTTCCATTGCTGTCTCCTCTGTTCCTTCAGTATTCTCTCCTTTTTTCTCTCTTTTTAATTTTTTTTGTTGTGATGAAATATACTTAACATAAAATTTACCATGTGTGTGGAATCATATAGGATTTGTTTTACTGTGACTGGCTAACCTCACTTAACATGAGGTCATTGTCATATTTCTTAACTGGGGCATGGTGCCAGATGAGAGATTACTTAGAGTCAATGTCCAGCTTAAACTCCAAGTTGGCCCAGTGGAGCTGCCTTGCCAAGCCCCTCAGCATGAAAGTCTCAGGAAAAAACAGCCCTTAACCGAAGCTTCTGTAGCTTTTTATTGATAGAGGCAGGAAGCAAGGATAAAGGACAAAGGAAGGACTTCTGTGCAAGAATTCATGTAGGGAACAAAGGAAGGACAGGGGAAGGTCAGGATGTTCTGTCACATAATTGGCCTTAGGGTCAATTCAAGTAATAAATCAGAGTATGGGGAGAAGAGGGCCAGACACACTACCTTAAGGTAATGTGTCTTGATCTTACTTGGACTTCTGGCCCTTAGGCTTTTTATCTCTAACCATGCATTCCAGGAAATTTGGGGCTTGTGACCCCCAAAGTCTCATCTCTTCATAGCCATCTCTGGCCAATGTCCCCCCACCCCAGATCCTCAAGGTCATCTATATTGTACCACATGTCAAAATTTCTTTGCTTCCTAAGGCTGAATAATATTCTAGGGTCTCTGATACATACATCTTCACATTACTCTGCCAATGAACTTGTAACTTCTACCATTTTTTGTGTGCATGTTTGTAGTACAAAATAATGATGTTCATTTTAAGGAACTAACACATGAATCTAACATGTCTTGATAATTTTCAATTGCTTTACTCCCTTCTTCCTTTGTTTCCTCTCTTCTTTCCCCCCCCACCCTTTTCTTTCTATATCTTTAAAATCTACCATCTAGTTTTCTATCAGCTCTTATTTATTTATTTATTTAGTATTTTAGATTTTCATGTGAGAAAACAGGCAATATTTAACTTTCTGAGTCTGATTTATGTTGCTTAGTCTGATAATCTTGAGATTCATCTATTTTCCTCCAGATGACATGATTTCACTCCTATTCATAGCTCTTACATTTCTTCCTTTTGCCTAATTGCTCTGGCTAATGTTTCAAGTATATATTGAACAGGAATTGTGAGAGTAGACATTGTTCTTGTTGCACATAGGGTATATTTTTAGTTTCCTCCCATTCAGAATGATGCTGGCTGTGGGTTTATCATATATGGCTTTTATCAGTTTGAGGTAAGGTATGGGGGACTGCCCTATTGATTATGCCTAAATCAGGCTTTGAGCAGTGCAGGCTGTGAAGAGTTAATCCCACAACTGGCTTGTTTTGAGAAGCAAGTCAAGCTGAAACCTATGTGCTGAGGTCAGTATGACTCTTACCCAAATTCTGTTCCCAGAGTTAAAATCTTCTTTAC